GGGTAAACCTAATACCTTTCCCACCATGAACTAGTGGGAAGGAGAGAGAAAGAGACACAGACACAGCACAGAGTAGACAGAAGAGGAAGGAGATGACGTGCGTGGGGGACAGGAACAGTGAAAGAGGGGGGAGAAAACAAAAGAGAGAGAAAGAGATATCAGAACTCGCAGACAGACAGACGGCTGAGCATCTGGACAACGGGTAAACCTAATACCTTTCCCACCATGAACTAGTGGGAAGGAGAGAGAAAGAGACACAGACACAGCACAGAGTAGACAGAAGAGGAAGGAGATGACGTGCGTGGGGGACAGGAACAGTGAAAGAGGGGGGAGAAAACAAAAGAGAGAGAAAGAGATATCAGAACTCGCAGACAGACAGACGGCTGAGCATCTGGACAACACTGCAGCAACATGGGAGTGCCAGGCACCACCCAGCTCTGAGCCCTGGGCTCCTGAGGCCAGGCTGCACCCAGGGGCGCTGGCACTCACTGGACCCAACCCCACGCCCCTGACACGAGTGAAAGAGGGGGGAGAAAACAAAAGAGAGAGAAAGAGATATCAGAACTCGCAGACAGACAGACGGCTGAGCATCTGGACAACACTGCAGCAACATGGGAGTGCCAGGCACCACCCAGCTCTGAGCCCTGGGCTCCTGAGGCCAGGCTGCACCCAGGGGCGCTGGCACTCACTGGACCCAACCCCACGCCCCTGACACGGCTGGCAGATGTCCTTTGCAGGAGACGCACAGACAGCAAATGTACGTCCCACAACCTGAGGATGCAGACAAGCCTGGCTGGGGCACTGTGACCACCACTGAGCATCTCTGTCCCCTCCTCAAGTAGCCAAGAGACAAAACAAAGGACAGCATTTAGAGCCAAGGGGTAGTCCTGCCCCAGAGGGTGCCCAGCACCCTGCACTGCCTGGCTCTGGGACAGAGGCAGCACCTGAGAGGCACCCAGCACCCTGGACGGATCCCAAATCATGGGGTGTGTGGGGCACCCAGCATGCCCAGGACAGGCCCTGGCACAACTGATCTGTGAGAAGTCTGAGCCCTGGCCAGGCTGGCACTGCTGGGCTGAGACCAGCAGCTCCAAGGCAACACTGGGCCAGAGACATCTGTGCTGGGTGACAGGGGCCATCCAGAGGGGACAAACGCTGTGACACGTGGCCAGATGGGTAACCTCCCCCACCCGTGGGCCCCATTTCCGTGCCAGCCCAGCCAAGCCCTGGCACTGGGGACATACTCTTCTTGCTGGTGGGGATCTTGGGGGGTGCCAGGCTGCCTCTGGGCACCCATGGCCCCTCTTCACCTGCAAACCATGGGAGGAAAAAGCCCTTCCCTCCCCACCCATCTCTGCCACCCCTCCACAAGCCTGACTGGGACCCCCAACCCCACCAAGATGGAGGCCCTGGCCGCACGGCAGCCAAGCCCATGTGTAGAGACAGGGGGCCCAGATGGGGAGGCCAGGGCAGTGCGTCCTACCCTGCGAAGACTGGGTCTGCACAAAGGTTTTGATGAGGAGGTCGGTGGCCTGGGTGTAGAGGGACAGGGCATAGCGCAGCGACTGCAGGTCAGGGCTCTTCTCCAGGAACGTCTTCTTCAGCCCCACACCACCGGCATGGAAGTATTGCTGGAGGGGAGAGACAGCCACAGGGTCCCGAGCAGCTCTGCTGAAGCCCCCACTGGTGCCCCCAGGGGTCTGCGCCTCAGGGCTAGAGCGCCCAGGGGCACCTCTTTGTACACCAGAGTGCCCTCACCTTGATGGTGTCCAGTGCCAGCTCCACCACTGCACATTGCTTTGGGGTCAGGCTTTTGGCTTCCTCCCGCACCATGTGGTCCTGTGGGGCACGAATCCTGTTCTCAGCATGGGGTCTGGGACCCACTTCCCTCACCCCAGCAAACGAGCACTGGTGGGGTCCTTGCAACAGGGCCAGTGCCAGCCTGTAAAGTGCCCCCCCAACACAGGGAGGAGCTCAGACCTCCTGGGCAACCCCCAGCTCAGCTCCCCAGTTCTCACCTTCAGCTTAGAAAGCTGCCCCAGCTCCTTGGCTGCATTGAAAATCATCTGCGTGCCCTGCAGAGAGCAAAGAGACAGGAACAGCACCGGTGAGTGGCCAGGATGGGGGTGCCATGGCCAGGCTGGGCACACGGTTCCAGGAGCTTGCTGCAGCTCCCAGGGCTCTGCTGGCCTCTCCGGCTCCAGGGGGGTAGAGGGGTGCTCCTCGGAGAGCCCCAAGAGCCACCAGCCATGCCAGACGTGGGTGTGGGGAGCTGGTGCAGCCCCCATCTCAGCCTCTGAGTTCTCAGGTGTGTGGCTGGGCCTGGGGATTCCAGGACAGGACATCACCCTGGCATCGGGGATCTCACACCCTGCTCAGCACCAGCAGATTGGCCCAAGGGTCCCATCCTACTCCCTGTGGTGGCCAAGCACCCGCTTCTGCATCCAACAGAGCCCAGCATGGCACATCACTAGCACTGCATGAACGATCGTATGACATCGGTGCAGGGGGAGCAGAGAGCGAGTGCAGGGGGACAGCGGGCACAGGAAGGGTGCAGCACGGTCCCCCTGTACCCCGCAGCACTGGCAGCCAAGCCAAACACCCCACTGCCACCCAGACCCCTGCCCAGTCCCAGCCCCAGGGAGGTTACTGGCCCCTTCGCACCCCTCAAACACTGAGGAGGGGAGCCCCTGGCCACCTCTGCCTGCCCTGTGCTGTGCCACCCCCATGGGCAGGGGTCGTGAAGCCATTCCATGGGGTTCACTGGCAACGGCTCCTGGGGACGCAGCCCCATGGCACAGGCAGATCCCACTCACCTCCCTGGTGTGGCACCTGCTCACCAGGCTGGGTGCAAGCTCCCCTTCTGAAGCCTTCCAGTGTGCAACTGGGTAAACTGGGGCCCAGTGAGGCAGAGTCAGCAATTCCCACCTCCTTCCCCCTCCCGACACCAGTAGCTCCAGTCCTTCCCAGCAATGAGAAACCACAGCATCTGTCCCACTAACCATTACCTACTGCAGTGGTCTGGCCCCCATCCCCTCATTTTGTACCACCCCCACTAACCTTTTGTGCTGCCCCCCCATTTCTGTCCCATTAATCCTTCCCTTGCTGTCCCCATCTTCCCCAGCCAGTGAACAGGCTGGGAGCTGGGGACACTGGTGTCACCCAAACAGAGCACGATGGGACACTGTACTGAGCTGGGACCCCCTGCGCCCCGCAGCACACAGGACAAGGGATGGGGAGGAGGCGAGAGGAGGGACCAGAGCCAAGTGGGGATCAGAAGAGCCATGTCCTTACTTCAGTGTGACTGGGCAGCTTCACCCTGCTCTGGAAGAGAACAGCAAGGGACAGTTACTGGTGGTCCCAGCAGTGGCCAGCTGCAGGTCCAGGCCCCCCACATCCCCCGGCCGTGGAGGCTCTGGCCCTGTACTCTCCTCTGGCTGTGCCCAGTTCTCTGCTTGTGCCACTGGTTCAGCACCAGTTCACACCTGCAAAAGCTCAGCCCTGTGCACTTGGTGCTGAGCCTGTGATGAGCGTGCCAGGTCTCTTCCTGAGTGGGGGGCAGGCTTGCTCTCTGCCTTGGCTGGGGAACAAAGCAGCTCACCCAGCACCCCCAGCAAACTCGGGCAGGACCCAGTGTCCCCTGTGAGAGAAGTGGGGACCCAGGAGAAGCCACAGGCATTGCCCAGCAAATGCCAGCATTGCTTTTCCTGAGAGCTGGGTTTTGGGAGCAGGCAGCCTGGAGGGGCTGTGCTGGGCCCCCAGCCTGGTGGTGGGGAGTACCCAGACAGAGGGAGGGCCCAGGTGCCTGGAAAAAAGCTCTTTTGGCAAGTTTTGGGGCTCAGTGCACCTTGCTGAGCCTCCCCAAGCATCAGGAGGGAAGCAGGCTCAAAGGTCCAGGGGATCTCAGCAGCCCCATGGCTCTCAGTGTACCCTGCACATATCCAGCATGGCCCAGCGTCCTGAGGGTCACCTCTTCCTGAGCCCCCAGCAGTGGGACGGGTTTGTGCCTGTGATCTTTCGTGCTTGAGCATCCCCACGCTGTCCCAGCCAGGCACCTGGAGGGGTGCTGAGCACCATGGGGCAGCATCCCCCGTGCCTGCCTGGGGATGGGTAACACCCCACATACCCACCCATGGAGGGGCTAAACACAACACAACACGCGCTCCCTACCCCAGGTGACACACAGAAACAGGTCACTGCCCCCATCCTGCACACAGGCAGCACATCCCGGGCGACACAGCACACCTCAACACGACATCACGCCACGCAGGCAACGGCACATCCAGACAGCACAACAGAGGAAGCACGGACAAGCCTGGACCTCCACAGCAGGTGGGAGTGGGGCCACGAGCGTGGCCACGGGGCGATGACATACATGGAGCCCACAGCTATTTACCTTCTCTGTCCCCTTGCCATGTTTTCTCAAGAGCGTCCCCTGTAGAAGCAATGGTCAGAGGTTGAGTGGTGGGGTGGGGGGACAGCCTGGGGTGGGGGGGGAGCACAGGGCAAGGCTGGGCACACAGTGGGGGCCGCAAGCTGGCGGCAAAGTCATCACTGGGCTCCTAAAGGACAGCCAGGGCCGATGGGGGACTGGTCCCTGTTGGGGTGCTGGGCCCATGGAGGACTGCTCCCCACTGGGATACTGGGTTAGTGGGGGACTGGTGCCCAGAGGGGTGCTTGGTCAGTGAGGGATTGTTGTCTTTGGGATGCTGGGCCAACTGGTCCCCACTGGTATGTAGGATATTGCACTGATGGGGAACTGGTCTCTACACTGGGATGCTGGGCTAATGGGTATCTGGTCCGTGCTTGGATACAGGGATGCTGAGCCCATGGAGGACTGATCCTCGTGGGGATATAAGGAGGCAGGAGCCAGCTGGCACTGTGGTGGGCAGCCTCTGGTGCCCCCCATTCCCCTCCAGCTATGCCAGATGCTCACAGTGCTGGGGAGGGAGGGGGCAGCTGTACTTCAGTTTTACACGCAGAGTTCAGGTCCATGCAGTGCTGAGACCAGTGACAGCCCCACGCTGGCCCAGGTCCAGCAGGGCAAAAGAAACAGTGTAAAATGTGGCAGCAGTGCCATGGAGTGGGTCCTAACCAGCCTCTCGGGAGGGCGGCGCGAGGGGGGGGGAGC